CGAATTTGCCGCCGCCCGGAGTCGGAGACAAGGCTCACCCGATGTCAGCCCATCTCTGGCACGTTTCCGCACTATGGTTTGTCACTCTCTGCGTCGTGGGACCGAATCTGCGTAATGATCGCTGGATAACAGCCGCGCGTTGGGTGGATCCCGCATTCGGGTTTGCCGTGGGATGGAACTATTTTTACGCCAACGCGTGAGCGAGGTTGTCTCGAAATCGCTATCGCCTCTCCTGACCGAACGTCAGGACTGCCATTCCGGTGGAGATATCTGCGGCTGTGATCCTGTTGACCTTTTGGGATAGTAATGTGAGAGGTGTCTCATTTGTAACGTTGGAGGCTCATGCGTTATTTAGCCCAATCATGCAGCTATCTACACCGCGGTAAGACTGATAACTTTTGCAGTTTTCAAGCACGGCCTCACAAACGTGCAGCTTGTTGCGATATTGATCTGTGCAATCAACATCTTTGGCGTTCGATACTTTGGAGAATGTATGAAGCTAGTCTTGCTTGGACCGATATGCTCACGCGTTCTTAGCCGAGTTCATTTTCTCCATTTCGAAGCGTGCGCAATTCAGCCGCTTTGACGCGTGTGTATTGACTGGGTTCAGTTGTTGTTATCACCATCATTTTGGTAACCGGGCTCGTCGTTGATCTCGGGGGGTCTCCAAGTCATGAAGTTGTCGGTTTCAAGGTGAGTATCATTTCCGGGTATCGTCGCAAGCTCGATGTCTGAATGTTCACATATTCAGTTCTGGACGAACCCTGGTGCTGTGAATCGAGCTGGACTGGTGTCAGACCTTGGAGCGGACCGGTTCTTTGCCATTCTGAATGTAGTCATCCAAGCGGCGTTCTCTTTCCAAGGCATTGAGACGGTGTGCATCGCTGCTTCCGAGATGGAAAAGTGAGTGTCTCCCCTGAGCGAATGAGGTGCCAGAATTCGATGTGACATCTAGCCCTCGCCGCAACATCGCCAAGGCCGTCAAGAGGGTGTTCTATCGTATCATCATCTTCTACGTAAGAGTTTGGTCTATGGAGCCCGCATTGACTGACGATTCATTTGATCAGATGCTCGGAATACTGATGATTGGCATGCTTGTTGCCTATGATAACCCTGCGCTTCTGTCTCGTGTCGGGACTGCAGCTCAATCGCCCTTTGTGATTGCATTGAGCAGTGCTGGCATCAAAGGTTGGTAAAGGTCTTCGTTGCTTTGCTGCAATGAGTGACGATTTCCCAGCTTTTCCGCACATTGTAAATGCCGTCATCTTCACCAGTGCCTTCTCAGCGGGCAGTAGCGCGGTGTTCAGCAGCTCCCGGGTGTTGTATGGCTTGTCTATCCGAGGACAAGCCCCTCGCTTCTTGGCTTTCACCACCCAGCAGGGGCTGCCTATTGCCTCTGTGATGGTTTCGGTACGTTCAAACGCAGGGATCCGTGCCGAGACTGAGATGATGTGTGACCAGTGCGCATTTGCGTTGATGGCGTTCATGACAGTATCATCAGGGGCAGACACGGTCTTCAATTGGTTCGTGTACGTCTCGACGACAGGTGGATCTATCGGCTGGTTCTCGATCAACCTGACGTATCTCTACTTCTATCGTGGGATGACTGCTCAAGGCTACGACCTCAAGAAAAACATCTATAGCAATCCCCTGCAGCCCTACCTCTCGTACTGGGGCATCGGATGGACTGCGTTCTTCACACTGGCCAACGGCTATGCTGTGTTCTTCAAGTTCGAAACATCCATCTTCTTGACAGCATGTGCGCTCCCTCCCCCAATCGGTATTCCAAGTGAATCTCATCCTCCTCTCCTCTGTAGACATCAACATTCCCATCTTTCTCATGCTCTACCTCGGCTACAAGTTGATCTACAAGACTCGAGTCTGGAAACCACTCGAGATGGACTTCGTGACGGTAGGTTTCCACAACTTTCCAGAGTGATGTGGGACTTGGGAAACCTGATCTTTCCCCAGGGCATCCCGACCGTGGAAGAGACGGAACTCCCACCGGAGCCTGCAGACACGTTCTGGGCAAAAGTGGGAGATTTCTTGTTCTGAGATACTAGGGCTATGTTGTATATGCTCTGTTGTAAGATTATTGTTGTAAGTTCGTATATACCTATTAGACTCGGGATGTCCCAATCACCAAGTCGTTTATTTCGTGGGCTTCTTCAGCCACCCAGCCAAAGTGGTTTGCTTTCCAGCCCCCTGTCTCGTGCTTTTGGCCGGTGTCGAAGGTTCCTTGGCTTCCTCTTCAGGCGATGTTGAGGTTACTAACGATGGCGGCGAACCGGACTATTGGTGCCTCAGCCATTGTGAGAGGGCATATCTCGAGAAAACCCACCTGAGCATTTATAGGCTCCAACGGGGGCATAGGAAAATCACCCCGCAATCGCTTCTTACGCATTTCCTCGTAGTCGATTACTTCCACCTCCTCCAGTTTGCGCTTCTTGCTAGGCTTCGAGCCCATGGCTGCAGGCGCGATTTGGGACGAGCTAGAGGCCGGGCCGCCGAAGGCGTTGCAGATCATCATATCGAATAACATCCGCATAGCCGCGTCGTTGAACGGGCCCCCGCCCTCGCCGTATTCGCGGTCGCCGAATTCACGGCCCTCGTAGCCGTCGAAAAGGCCACCCGCCATCTTTTTCTTGCGGGTGCCTGTGGCTGTTTTTTTGATTGCAGGGGTCGACCTCCGCGACGCGGGGCCCTGGTGCTCTTCCAAGACGGCCTGGAAGAGGCGCATTTTCCCGGCGCTGGAGAGATCTGCCTTCGATGAGGAAGTTCTTGCAGATGGCGCGTCCTGTGCGCCCTTCTTCACGGTCTGCTTCGCCGCTGCGTCCGCTCGACGCACAGCAGCAGTTTCTTCCTCTTGACGCTTGATGACCGCCTCAAGCGGCTTGCTGTCGAAAAGGGCGAGGCCTCCTTCGCGAGAGTCGCGTCCGGCCTCAACAGCGGCAGCACGCTCCTTCCTGCGCGCCTTCTTCCGCTTCGTCTTTTCGCGGCATTGCTCGCAGGTGAGCAGGGTCTGGGTTTGGGGGACTGGGCGACGGCACTGAGTGCACGGCCGCGTAGAGGAGTTGGAGTTGAGGTTGTTCATCGCGAGGGCGATCTGCAGATTAGATGGGCGCTTCATGGCGAAGAGGAACAGAGAGTTTGTACGGGGTGAGGGAGAGCGTCACAGTGACACAACGCGTCCGTGACATTTATTTATTGATGTTTTCTATGAATCGACCGACTTGAAGGACGAGATCGTCGCATCCCCATTGACCGACTACGCTGATACCTACGGGCCATTGCGAGCCAGTGATGGGAAGCGGCACGTTCAGGGCCGGCAACCCAGCCAGAGAGGCAGGGACGGTCAAAACATCTTGCACGTAATTAGAGACGTTGTCAGTGTCCACGTTCGAGAGCCCGGGTGCAGTTTGAATTGCGGAAGGATGGAGTAGCACATCGACGCCAACTTCTTGAGAGATTTGCGATGGGAATAGCATATTTGGGACGCGGAATGCGCGATTGAAGTCCTCCCTCACGAGCTGGCGAACTCGCTGTGCTTGCAGGAAGTAATTGTCGAATGCGCTGCACGGTTGGTGAGAGGGGGAAGAACGAAGATGCATTTCACACACTCGGCGGACAAGGCATAGGTCCCCAGCAGTATTCGTTTCTGCACCTCGGCCCCAAACCCCACCGAACGCGTTTGAGCGTATATACTGGCAGCATTTCCTGTAGAGTCACCTGCCACCTGGAGGCCATACTGGACTCCGTCATATCGTGCCATGTTGCTGCTAGCCTCGGCACTAGATAGCACATAGTATGCGCTCAGTGCATATGCAGTCGACGGCAGGGAGACAGGCACAACAGTAGCCCCAGAAGCTTTGAGAGCATGCACCGCTTGTCGGACAGGTGACGCAACTTGTGCAGAAAGTTCAGCAGGAAAGTATTCCTGGGGAATACCTATGCGCAAGGAGCGCAAGGACGAATCAGGCCATAACCGAGTGGCGGCTTCTGAAGCTTGCAGTCGAATTTCGGGTGGTGCCGATGTCGGATCTCGGTAATCATGCACATTAAGAACGTCTGGGAGAAAATTAAAGCCAGCGAGGGGAGCTTGACATGAAATGCTTGCCGAAGAAGCGTTTTGTGGTTGCCGTATTATTCGCGATGACCCCAACACAATCCAAGCTATCCGCAAAGGAAATCACTCCCCATCTTCGCAGTTGAGTTACGGTGGAAATGTCTTCTTGAGGTTGCATACCTGCTCAGAAGCCCGTATGAGGGCTTTAATCCAACAACTCCACAATAGGATGCGGGCAAACGTGTTGAACCGCCAGTGTCCGTCGCCAGGGCACTACATAGTCGTGAATAATCACTTGAAGGAGTTTGTGGCACTTACACCGTACACATCCCTGAAGCTACTGCGGCTGCACTTCCTCCAGAACTGCCTCCGGCGGAGTGTTTCATTCGTTCGGTCCAAGGAACGGATGAAGTAGAGGGCTGGAAAGGATTGACGACCGGGCCGTGGACCGAGTGAGTGTTCAGCGACCTATAGTCCCACTTCAGAATACTCAGACGCAGACATAGAATCCAGTGAGGACCTACCCCATGCCAAACTCATCGCAGTTGAGCTTGCCAACGATATCCGCGCCCGCTTTCCGTAATAATCCAACCACCGTCGCGTCAAAGGGCGAGGTGAAATCTGCATAATATCAAAGAGACGAGGCTGAGAGAAGTGGAAGAGTTCCGTACCGGCCAACATTGCTGAGGAGCTGGTCGTTGGCATGTCTGCAGTGCAGATCATGTCCTTTATCCCGACAGCAAGCCCATTCAAGGGCAAGTTATCGCGTGCGAGAGGCACGGGAGGTGGTGAGATGCTAACAAAGGCATTGACGGAAGAGTTCTTCTCCCGAATAGCCTGCCGCCACGAGGACAATCCTCGCGTGTATGAGCGCGTTACATTGACGCGCATTCCAAGCTCGAGTGATCGTGATCAAACAAAAGGCAACAACACGAAACTTTTCCTCGGAACTCATGATGCCTCGCAAGGAGCTCGGGCGCCCATTAAAGAAGCCCCGTACAGACGCGGCCGCACCCAAACTCTCCGCTAGCCGTGTCAAAAGGTCTCCGGCTCCCCAGAAGTCGAAGACAAGCCAGGGCAAGGAAAAGGCGGCTGAAAAGACGACGGAAGCGACTCCGCCGCCTGCAAAGAAACGAAAAACAGCCCCTAGGAAGGCCGAAGCACCTCTTCCTTCAAGTTTCAAAATCGTGGCAGGATCGTACGAGAAACTACTGTATGGGCTCGAAGGAACTATCTCCTGCGAGGAAGGATCATCTATCCCGACATACAATCTCGAACCGATATTCATTTTCCCTGCTCATGTATCATGCATCAAGGTAGTTGCTGCTTCGCCGCATGGTGGAAAATGGCTGGCTACTGGCAGTGCGGACGAGATCATCAAAGTCTGGGACTTGCGGCGGCGGAAGGAAATCGGAGGGTTGATGCATCATGAAGGTTTGTCGCCTGCATACTCATTCTTTCCGGTATTGATGATATTCACGTTTCCCACCAGGCTCGATCACACATCTGACTTTCCCGTCCCGCTCCCACCTTTTGTCCGCTTCGGAAGATGGCACATTGTGCTTGTTTCGGGCGCGCGACTGGTCGGTTTTGCGCACGCTTCGCGGGCACAAAGCACGAGTCAATTCCGTCGCAGTGCATCCGTCTGGGAAGGTTGCGTTGAGCGTAGGGAAGGATCGCGCGTTACGAATGTGGGATCTAATGAGGGGAAAGGGAGTGGCCAGCACCAAGCTAGGCAAAGGTCCGACCTTTCCAAATCTTCCCTCCACATCCTCTGACCATCCATTGTAGAGGGCGAAGTCGTTCAATGGTCGACCGACGGCACTCTGTTTGTAGTCCAATCGGCCGCAATACTGGACATCTACACCACAGTGAGTCAAGACTGCGGATCGGATATACTTTCTACTGACCTTCGTTCCAGGATATGATCCTCATCCACACAATAACACATCCATCACGAATCCACGATGTGAAATTCTGTCGAAGAGTCGAGGGCGAAGGCGACATCCTGCTTGTCGGCGCCGAGGACAAGAAGTTGACAATCTACGATGTTTCAAGTGACCCAGAGAAGCCCCCGCAGAAGGTCACAGCATTGGTCGGGCACGCTAATCGGTATGGTCGTGCATTTTGTTCTGAACTTTAGCTGAACTATGAACTTGTACATAGCGTCAAGACATTTCAAACGCTGTCTGTAGCGCTCCCTTCTTCTTCACCAAGGAAATCGACGACCATTGTTGCAACCGCGTCGTCAGACGGAAACATCCACGTATATGACCTCGCAGCCCTACCCTCTGCAGAGGGTAAGTCTGTGGCCGAGATGTCTCCCGTAGCGAGATATGATACAAAAGGCACACGATTGACGTGTGTCACTCTGGCCGATGGAGAGATCACTCAACCAGTGGTCAACGGCAAGCGGAAACGAGAAGATGCAGATCAAGATGGCCAGTCAGGTGATGAAGAGGAGGAGGATGTCGATGAGTGGGAAGAAGAGGTCGAGGGCGAAGAAGAGATGGAGAGCGAGTGATAGATAGTCTGATAGATGGATTGCGCATGGCGGGGAATATCATCCTAGTTTTTTCCGCAAGTAGAGGTCAGTTGTTGTGGAAACGACAGTCGTGAACGACGGTTGACGTGTCGACATTACTACATCCCACGGTCTTTCCGGCCCTGATGATTGAACAGACGACGACGGAGGACGGAGACAACATCCGTCTCACGTCCATATGCGTTAAATCACAGACTGACAACGCTTCACAAGTGAAGACCACAGTTTGAAGCTGATGGAGGCAGGATCTGTATCCCTTTGAAGCCAAATTGTTTCTCGGCAGTGATAAGGTCCGATATGTAGACTGTTCTACGGGAAGCAAAGCTTGTGGCAGGATCACGCGAGGTGTTGTTGTTCGTATGGATCAGATGGTGGGACAGGTTGAAATACTGAGTTCTAAATGCGGACAGGTTCACTTCACTCCCTTTTCTCACCCCACCACCAACTTGTCCATCCGCCGCCATGTCCTACAGTCTCTTCTTCTCCGCTGGCCTTCAGGCCACCGCTGCCTCGATCTATAGCTACTCCCATCCTGCCCACGAGCATGATCACGACAACGAGTTCGACCCCAAAGCACCACAGTCTCCCACCTTGGCTGACCGTGTCTATTTCGCCGATGCTTCGCGATACCGCTCCAATTCTACTTCGTCTCAAACGCTCGGGCAGAATAAACCTGAGCGCAAGCGACGCTCCAGCATCACTGCCGCCGCATCTCCCGTCTCCGCAGTCAAGTTGGCCAAGTCGCCGGCACGCGCTGCAGGAAACGCGTGGCACGCACATGTTGCCGCCTCCCCCAGTCGGTCGAGGAGTGGAAGCATGAATATTGCAAGCGACGACACGAGCATGCTCGGACGCATGCGCAGTGGCAGCATCGGCACCACCAGGTTTGTTTCACGACTGGTTTCAGCTCCACAGTCTCATTCGGCTCCAGGCTTCCTCCGCGCGCGAAGAAGCCCATGACATCGAAGCGTCCCGTTGCTCTGCTTTTTGCGCCCACGCCCGCACCGACGACTCCGCTTCCCGCCCTGCCTTTCTCAACCCCTCATTCCCAGTCGTCTTTGGCCTTGCTGCAACTCTCGCTACCCCCAGCAGGCGATGTTTTCTATTCCTCATCAGCAGGAAAACCGCTGGCCTCGCCCGTGCCGTCCTCGCCTGGCATATATAACGCCGTTTGGCCCGGCTTCGATGCCATCCAGGAGGATCCCGGTACGCAAGACTGAATTCGTCACCTCGGCACCTTTTCCTTTCCTTACGATACGAAAAATTGCAAACAATGATCGCACAGTCGAACTGTTGTTGTACCACTTCCCCCTCCGATCCAAACGTCCTAAAAAATTCGACCCTCGGTCATTTTTTTTGTAACTGTTCCCGCGCTTGTTGCCAACTACCCACGTCCTTTACCATATCTACCTGCTGCTTATTATATCGTATCATCACTCTTTATATATCTTACTCTCTTTCCCTCTCTACTCTCTTTCTACTCACTTCACGTACCTGGGCGTACCGAGCTCCGAGCTCATTCACCGCTTTATGTATGTTTCGTAGTTTGTAATGGCCCTGTCCAGTCTATGACACCTTGGTCGAGCTTGACTCGTTTGTGCGCACCAGGCGGATCATTCAGCTCTTTGAGAGCATAGAACTTGTTGCTCAGGATATTTTTCCTTGAGAACTCAGTAGCGTCTGCAGCAGAAATTCCGAAGTACAATGATCTGTTACAGTCATCAGCCGGTCACTGTCACATGCAATGAATTCGCTGTTTCTGCCAGCAACAAAAACTTCTGTTTCTGATCTTGGTGTTTATTGAGTTGTCAGACTCCTACTACACATTTCTTTGGAATATTTCAGGCCCCTCTGCAGATTTGCGGATGAAGTGGTTGGTTGACACACTGATGTTGGCATCACAAAGGAATAAATCCGATCTGATGCAATCAAAACGCGGTCAGGTGATGCGCGACTGTATCGTGTATCAGTAATCGATGCGGTAATTGATCAGAATCATCAATTCGATCCGTAGCCGGATCACCCCGATGGCAGCTCTCCTTTTGGACACCTGTTTGCTGACTTCAATGTCACGGTTCTCAGGACACGCTCACCACGACTTTCTTCCTGATCCTGGCGCTTATTCGCCGCACCTGAGATGCTATAGACAGCCCTTCGCCTGTCTTTGTCGTCGTCTATGTCCTTCACGAGGTGGACCGTCCCAGGCCCGCTCTGCAGGGCATCCGGGCATTGGGTCATGCACAGTCTCAAAGCGTTATGCACCTTCAATCTGACTCATAATCGTGCGAGGAACTTGCCCTGAGGGTGATTGCCGGCATCTTTGTTGCTAACCGTGGGCTGGCTCCGCAATGGTGGGGGGCTTGTTTTGGGGCTACGATCTCTGTATTCCCCTTCATATTTGCGCTCGCACGATGGACCGAGGTGGTGCGCATATATTCGGTATGGAGATCTAATGGTCTCTCCAGATAGGATCAGGTCATGCATTCCAGCCAATTTCAATATGCTCGCGATTCGAAAACTACTCGAGGATGTGTGCACATCACGTCTAAGCGACCCATCCAGCAACGAAGTCATCGATCTGCCCATGCCGCTTCACGGCGTCCTCCCAAGTCGGGTATTGCCCTTCGGTGGCAAAACGGTCATGCAACAGTCCCACAATTTTTGACGGCATCGGAGCAGTTGCGTCTCCCGGCCAGAACTCCTGCAGGTCAAATCCGACCTTCTCGACTTTGTCCGTCTCGAAATCATGCATCTCGACAACAATACCGGCGGACACCATGTGAAGCACGGACAATGCCTGGTTCGTCACCCGTATCTCGCCCTTCTCGCCTGTGATGCTCCACACAAGCGCGGGCTCGCCCGGGAACGGGGGACTGCGGCGGAAGCGAAACAGCAGGGATGCGTCGCGCACGACGGTCGGCGACTCCGTCAGGCGTGCGGTGACGATGTACAGATCCGGTACGTCGGATTTGATGTTGTCGGTGACGGTGTCGGTCGCGGGGTCGCGTACGGTGTTGATCGGACGTTGCAGCTGCGGCTGCGACTTGATCTCGGTGGCCTCGCCCAGAACTGTCTGAATCAGATCGAACGCTGCGGGAGATTGGAACCTAAGCATCCCAGAACTATTATGGCGACATATCACGCACCGTGGCCTCCAAGGATGGTGATGATATTCCCACCAACCGAGCGCTGAAGGACATATTCGGCCCCTTTGGGCACTGAATCTCGTCCTTTGGTCGAGCCTGCGCCGTGGAACTCTGTGCTCAGGACCTTCCCGATCCGCCCGTCCTCGATCAGCTTCTTGAGCCACAGCGTCAAGGGGCTGACACGACCTTGCAGACCGACCATCGTCCGCCCACCACCATTTCGGGCGGCGTCCGCCAGTTCCTTTGCATGCTTGGTATCTTGCGCTAGCGGCCACTCAACAAACACGTCTTTCCCAGCCTTGGCAGATGCAAGAACGGTCTCGTAGTGCCTATCGACACGCGTGCTGCACACGACGAGCCGGATGTCCTTGTCCGCGGCAAGCTCCTCGGGAGAACCATACGCGCGCGTCTCGGCAGGGAGGTTGAAGTGCTTGATAGCAGCGAGGGAAGACTCTTTGGACGAGTTGAGAACGGCGACGATGGTGTAGCGAGATCGTCCGTGTGCGGAGAGCAGGTAGGGCAGGTGCGCAGAGGCAGCCCACGACGAGGTCGAGTTCGCCGACAATCCGATGAGTGCAGTGGGGATGGGAGCCATGTTGATAGTAACGAACGTCCCCACTGACCTGCATTATAAGCAGGAGTCTCTGAGAGAGATTTATCAGCCGATTCGATATGAAGCTTTCTGCTTACTGAGCTGTGCCATATCGACGCGATTCCAATATGACTGCCGGAGCGAGCGGGAAACGATGGTCCTCGTACGTAGAGGTGCCGTGCGAATTAGTCACCACCCTTCAGAATATTTGGCTGATTGGCCCAGGGGCTGTGCTTCGTTGTCTTAAATTGTACAGCGGTTTCTTGACCGGCAGCCGGATTTTACGCAGCACAAACCGATTTATCAAGGCGTGGTAGAAAAGGCTCCGGAAGGGCATCCGTGTATTCCTCTATCAAATTCCATCGCCAACAAAATTTCTGTTAGACGAGCAACAATTATTTATTATAATAGAACGTTGATCCGGCAATTAGGGAATCCTTCACACGAAATTACAGAACCTGTCAAAACTTGTCCTGAACCGTAAACGGTCCGTCACCGGTCAATCACACGCAATGTCACACTCAACCAGGACCCTCATCGACCTGATACTGCATCTATGGTGTCGTTCAGAAATCCGCCGTATTCCACGAGCCACTGTGGAACTACACTGTCTTGCATAGGGCGCTGTTTACAATTGATGTTTATAAACACATTTATAAACAGCTGTTTATAAACAGGTTTTTAATTGCCTGATGGCAAATGGCCTGTTTATAAATCGAAGTACCTGCCAATCAATTGTGGCTGTGAGATCAATCTGTCACATCTTTTCTACACCACATGCCAGTGGCACGATCAAAGGCCATCGGCACACCTGGCAGTGCTGCCTACTATGACGAGCAGCTGAAGTAGTTGTATCAGTAACTCAAGAAGCTTCCGATCAAAGAGGGCACAGACCATGACTTCACCAACTACATTCCCGATCCTGACCGTGTTGACGACACTGGCAATGTCAAGCTTGAACTCGGCAACGAAGGAAGACCAGTTCAGGAATGGGAAGACGAGGCGCTCTGACATCCATTCTGACCAGGAGGCAGCCGAGTCCTTGGACATGTAGGAGAGGGCAAAGCGTACCATCTGCTCTTCTGATACTACCCCGTTCACATGGAAGGCCTCAGGGAGGAGGCGCCAGTACTGCTTGACGGAATGGAGAAACATCTTGCCCTGGGTGCGATCCCCATCAAACGTGAATGGGGGGTTGGGGCGGATGAGGGGTCTCGAGCTGGCCTGTTGGCCAGTAGATACACCTGGACCCACTGCCGGAGACAGAGCAGGGGCAGGGCAAGGCTGTTGCTGTGCAATTATGAGGTTGTGGAGGAGTCCCTCCATTCGTTGCATGGCTTCCTCTAGATTACCAAGTCGCTGCTTGGGGGAGGAGCCATTGTCTTCTCCTTCCATGTAGGACATGATGATCGCAGAAGGGGAGGAGGGGACAAGATTGGAAGTGAGAGGCGTATGATGCTATTGGCGGTCTTCACAAGCTTGTCCAGTTATCCCTAGGAACTCGGTTTCTGCTGTAAGGCCAACCTCGAGGCCCAATCTCAGAGTCCTGACAAGGGAGAGTCCAAAGAGAAACCAAGTTGGGGACTCTCCTTGTCAGGGCCCACTATATATAGCCTACAGAACAATGGATGACCAAGCACAATGGAAGCGCCAGACAATGGGGCCAGGGAACAATGAGGGGCCGGATCGGGGAGAACAATGGGAGCCGGACCGTCGGAACAATGGGGGTCCGGGCCAGAGTGTCATGTGGATGCGCTTGGCAGGGAAGTCCGGACCGAGGCATGTGACGCCTGACAGATGGCACGTGCACGGTCACATGCAAGATCCCATGATGATCAGACGAAAGCAGGGGTTCCCCTGACATTTATCGAATCATCTAGTTGTTCCCTGCAATCACAGTGAAGGGTTCATCTCAAGCAAACAGCACCAGGCCACGGGTAACGTTGAGCCCAACCCAAGCCTTACGGTAGCTACAAGAAGTGCTGCAGAGACCTTTGGGAAAACGCACCTCGGGATCATCGGGCACGTGAAGAGCTAGGCCCGGGATCTTTTTGCTAGCAAAAGAACCTTTCCTTGAGTGCTTGTACAGCACACAAATCCACCATTTCATACCAATTCCCATTGTTGTCTGGGAGTCCGTCTCCTCCCCCCATCATACTATCATTGCCCGATCTGGCGTATCAAAACCAACCCGGGTCCTCCAACCCGAGCCATAGCCCTAGGATTTAATCAAATCCGTTTGGCTGTAGCCATAGAAATTGCATTCAAATCTATGGCTGTAGCCATAGGGCGTGGCAGTGCTGATGTGAAGAACGATCATTATGATCAACAACCTGTGATTGTGATTGACACCCAACAGCTAGGCGGTAGTTTCAGTGAGGATTGAACGGCTGACCTTCCAAAAATGTAGGTGAAACCAACGCATTATCATACTGAGCCAAACCACTGTTAAACAAGTTGCAATTTCCCTTAACTTAGGGTAACCCCCAAGCGGCTTACCCTAAGTGGAGGGAAAGCTTTATCCTAGTACTGGTTATCCCAACCCCTTATCACCCAATAAACATATTTCTTGCCCCAACCAACCCTAATAGAGCCTCTAACAGGATTATTTTTTGCTCCCTTGCCCCAACCCTAACTGACAATAAATATATTTATTACCCTAACCAACCCTTACAGAGCCTGTAATAGGCTTTCTTCTTGCTACCTTGCCCCAGCCATAACTGAGAAAAAATGCCGTCTCTGGGGACTAACCTTTAACCCAAACCCAAACCCTAGCCTGAACCACTAACCTCCGCGCCCAGAGGGGCGTGGCTTGTTCAAGACAGTAAGGCCTATCAACACTTTATGTTGGGGGATCATGGTGGTGCTGATGCCAATGATGATCTTGCACATGCCATGGTGATGCCGAGAAAAGCAACAGGACCAAAGGCCTGCCACGCTATGGCTGTAGCCATAGCAGTATTAGTCAAAGCTATGACTGTAGCCATGCTATGGCTACAGCCATAGATTTGAATGCAATTTTTATGGCTACAGCCATAGATTTGACTAAATCCTAGCACTATGGGTGCCAACCCCTACCTCGCCCTCTCGCCGCCTGAAGACAAGATCCCCGACCTCGACGAGTTGCCCTCCAAACAACCACCCTCACCCCCACCTACTACACCTGCTCCTACCATGTCAGGACACCACCGCATCACCCTCGCGGCCAACCCCCCTATTTTGATGGGGACAAGACCAAATACATGGGCTTTGTGGACTCATGCACCACCTACATTGGTGCATACCGGTCAGAATTCTTGCTGGATGGAACAAAAATCCTCTTCATCCTCTCCTACCTCCGCAACAAGGCTGGCACAAGCTGCGCCGCCTCAAGATGGGCAATGAACTGGAAGCAGTGCAACTTCGAAAGCGTTAATGGAGTAAAGGCTGTGGTCACCTTGGTGACCTTCTTGGAGGAGCTTCAGAGGGCCTTTGGGGACTCCAATGCAGAGCAAGTTGCCGCCGCTTGACTCATGACCCTGCGCCAGAACAAATGATCCTTTGCGGATTATATCTCCGACTTTGAGATGCTGGCTGTGGACGCAGGGTACAATGTGGTCACCACCACCAACGACAAGGGTGAGTACAAGAAGGGGGATCAAGACAACATCCTCATCGAGTTCCTCAAGCGCGGACTCAGTAGCAAGATCACCAGTTGCCTCTACAACACAGGTGTCCCTCTGCCCAAGGTGTATGGTGCCTTCAAGGACTGGTGTGTCAACATTGAGGCGAACGCTCTGCGTGATCAACTGCGCAAAGCATTGTTTGGGCACTCCACACCACGACCACCTCCCCAATTCCGTCTCCAGGCGGCACCAGCGGCGCCCACACCCGTTCTGACCTGGCCGGCTGCCAATGAACTGGTTCCAATGGAAATCAATTGCACCCATGCTTGCGGCCACAATATCATCTGCTACAACTGTCAGCAGCCCGGGCACATTGCGCGGAACTGCTCAGAACCAAGGAAGAAGCGCACATTCTTCAATCGGGCCACGATGCTTGAAGAGATCAAGAACGGGGACAAGGACAACAAGTTCCTCAAGGAGATTGCTGAGAAGCTGCGCGAGAAGGGTTTTTGAAGCACTCCACTCCTCTAGCCAAGGAGGTGGAGCATCTGGACGATGGACAATTTTCTGTACTTGTTGCAATCAAAGATATGAACGATATTCCTCCCCATACATAAATGCTCCCCAACTTGCTACGTACTAATATTCACAATTTTCTTATTGCCAAGATGGAAAAAGAACGCAAGGAAAAAATAGCTCTAAATAAAAAATACTTACAAGATAAAAGGATCAGAAGACAGCGGCTGCAGATAAATTATTTTTGGACTCCTACGTATTTATGGCTTGTGGAGAAGAAACCACGTCAACAAAGACCAAAAAGGGGAGCATTGCTCCGGAGGCTCGATCCTTGAAAAAGGAGGAAGCGCCTAAGGAATCTGTCAAAATCAAGGTTCCAGAAGCACCCAAATGCACCAGGACTAAATCCTATTGACCCCCAACTGTCGCGGGTCACATGCTCCTGACATGTCAGTGATGATCTGTTAGCTCGTGGGATTCACGCACACTACATCATAGATTTGGGACTTGGAACAAATTTGAGCGTCTCCGAGATGCCCCAGCATTAAGATATAATACAGATAGATAATAATTCATTGGTCAACTCAGATTGAGCCCATTGTATTATTTCTATAGCGTGTGTCGGCTTTATTCCCGTTCTGGCTCTATACTGGTTGCCAAACCTGGCTAGTTTCTGTGCAATTACCGTAAATCAGTGACCATATCAAAAACATTGTCCCCGATTTTTTGCCGCTTGAGTTTTCATCTCCTTCCATCCGCTTCTGCGTATATTTGATCAGTTCAAGCTAAGCTCGAGTTGCCGACAGGACTTTGTGCACTTCTTGGTGGCCATTGCAATGTGTGGAACTCGTTAATATGAGAGAGCAAAGAGCGCATCAAGCTGATCACATGGAAAAATGTACTTCTCAGACCCACAATCATTGTCAATCAACAAATAATCAGCTTATTGTTGCTGAGATCTCTTATCTATCTTATCTCAATGCTGGGGCATCTTAGAGACACTCGAATTTGTTCCAAGTCCCAAATCTATGATGTAGTGTGCGTGAATCCCACGAGCTGACAGATCATCACTGACATGTCAGGAGCATGTGACCCGCGACGGTTGGGGGTCAATAGGATTTAGTTGCACCAGGGTGCCAGATGCCGTCCAGAGGAAATTGGCGGCCGAGAAGCAGAAGGGCCCTCAGCCCAGCAGATTGGCGCAGGAATTGTGCAGCTACCAGGCTGAAAGGAAGAGGCATTCAATGGACGTATATGTCCAGATCACAGGCCTGGACTCTGGGAAGACACGCGGAGTCAAGGCGCTACTGGATAGTGGCTGCAGTACCAGCTGCATCGATACCGACTACGCGCGGGCAGAGAAGTTGGATATCCAAGAGCTTCCGCAACCCATCGTGGCTTGTAACGCCAACAACACCAAGAGCATCAGCGGTCAAATCACACATTACGTCAACCTAAGGATGAGAATTGGCCCTCATGTGGAGACACGCACGTGCCTTCTGACGTGTTTAGGGAAAGCTCAGATCTTCATTGGTCTTGATTAGCTGATGGAACACAACCCTGAGGTGGATGGGCAGGAGCAGACAATGAGATTCAGCCAATGCCCAGAGCGGTGTCACATGAGGGGTCACAAGGAGCATCAAGCAATGATTGACATGGATGCAATTGACCTGGACACGGGCGCACCGGATCTGGAGAAGGGAGAATCAATCCTGTTGGTCGACTTTGGGAAGGAAGTGGATCTACAGCTGAAGGAAACACCGGCACAGAAATTCGCAGAAGAAGCGGAAAAAGAGAAGGAGAGAATGACCGAGGGGAAGATTCCGGATCAATACCGGGAATTTGTCAAGGTATTTGCCAAGGAATTGTTTGACTCGCTACCAGACCGACGGGCATAGGATCATGCAATTGAGCTCAAACCTGGTTCCAAAGCAGTGGACTGCAAGGTGTACCCATTATCGTGAAATGAGCAGGTCAAACTCGACAAGTTCTTACAAGAGAACCTGGCCAGCGGACAGATCAGGCCATCAAAATCACCCATGGCATCAGCATTCTTCTTTGTCAAGAAGAAGGATGGCTTGCTACGACCTGTCCAAGATTATCAGAAGCTGAATGAGATGAGGATCCAAAATCAATACCCGCTACCGCTGATCTCCAAACTAGTCCATAGCCTTTGCAGCGCCAAGTTCTTCCCAAAGCTAGACATCCAATGGGGATACAACAATGTACGGATCAAAGAGGGCAACGAGTGGAAGGCTGCGTTCTGCACAAACCGCGGGCTGTACAAGCCCTTGGTTATGTTCTTTGACCTCACAAACTCCCCGGTGACCTTTCAAAACATGATGAACAACATACTCCAGGAACTGGTCAACGAGGGTCACGTGGTAGTCTATCTTGACGATATATTGATCTTCACAGAGAACTTGGACAAACATTGGCGGATCACAAAACAAGTACTTGAATTGCTCCAAAAACACAAGCTGTACCTGAAACCCGAAAAGTGCGAGTTTGAATGCACAGAAATCGAATATTTGGGTGTAATTATTGGACACAATTCAATGCGGATGGACCCAGTCAAGATTAAGGGCATGATGGAATGGCCTGAACCAAAGAGCATCAAACAAGTCCAAGCTTTCCTAGGCTTCACCAACTTCTATTGGTGCTTCGTCCGGGGATATGCGGAGGTTGCCAAGCCGTTGACACAACTGACAGGAAAGGCAGGATGGTCATGGGGTACAGATGAGCATGCGGCATTTGATGGATTGAAGAAGAGAATCACGGAGGATGCGGTCCTAGCACTGCCAAATGATACTGGCCAATATTGTCTGGAAGCCGATGCTTTGGAAGGGGCAACAGGATCTGTTTTGAGCCAAAACCAAGATGGCATTTGGCGCCCAATCACATTTATTTCACACGCATTGACCAAAACTGAGCGAAATTACGAGATCTACGACAAGGAAATGCTCGCAATCATGCTATCTTTGGACGAATGGAGGCAACTACTGATGGGAGCCACAGAAACGTTTGAGATCTTCACCAATCATCAGAATCTTGAGTACTTCCGGAAGCCGCAGAAGCTCAATCGACGGCAAGCACAATGGATCACGGATTTGGCAGAGTTTGATTTCACCTTACGACACTGGCCCGGCGCAAGGCAGATCTCTTATCCCGACGAGCGGATCACGACCAGGGCAAGAACAACAACAAGGATGTCACCCGGCTGAAGCCCGAGTTCTTCCGATCGCAAGAAGTCACATTCGAGGGGCAAGATCAGCAGCTCGTTGATGAGATCAAGGCCGTTTGATCGATTGATGGAAGCATCAAGGCGGCCCTGGAGAAGTCACTTGTCGGATGGAAGAAGGAAGAGTGTGACAATCAACCCAAAAACAAAGTCAAAAAGAGAAGTGAATTCGAAGACTGGAGAATACAACCAAGTAGCTACAGTATTTATACCCAAATCCAGTCTGAGTCATATCTACAGCTAATGAGTCATAAGGCTATGTACTGCATGGAGCACTGTTCATGGGTTGTAGTAGAACCTTCTGGAGCATGTGTCGCGCAGCCTCAAATTGATAGAGATAATCCCTAGACCCCTAGCCCGGACCGTCTGATGCCATGATCCATGATAAGATAATCTGTGCCAAGATAAGATAAGGTGGTCGATGATAGGACGGAAAAGTGCTGAATTATGACATTACCCCCTCTCTAGGGTTGATGTCCTCATTGACTAGGTCAATGGGCATGAAGACGTTCTTGTAAGGGTCAAAGAGTTGTCGCTGGGGATATGGAAGGCGCTCATCTTTGGGTTTGTAGCAGTGAATGAGATAGTCCCAATGTCCAGCTTTGAGTGTTGGCAGGAGGTGAATGCGTGTGTCTGGGTTTGATTGTCTCCTCTGCCAATCTCTCACAACCTTCTTTGTGTGGGTAAGGTGACGTGATGGTTCCCACGTATTTTTGCTATGTGGCCATCCCTTCCATTTGACCAAGTACTGCTTTCCTCGGCCAACGTTCCGTTCTTTCACAATTTCTTTGACTTCCCACTCTTCTGCTCCTCCGATCATCTTGGCTACGGGTCTCTTCTCTCGGCAATGGGGGGTGGTTTGTAATAGGGTGTCAGTAGTGACTCGTTGAACACCGGGTGTCTTTGGTCCGTTGAAATGCTGGGGGCGTGCTCACAGGTGAATCTACTATGAAAGTAAACCCAAATATAAACACGTTCACACTCCTCGTAATCAGCTTCTCAGTGTGTGAAAGATGCGAGGGCTCCGGGGTGGACAGAACACCAGTATCACAACTCTCAATAGACACAGATCAATAGTCGCGGAAGACGAAGTCAACGACAAGAATTAATATATAGTAAACAATGGTGTCTCAACCAATATCTTCTA